ATGCAGGTCAGTCAGCGCTGAGATATCTGAAACAATGGCTCTGACAAACCCTATGTCAATGCCCATGGGACCATGGAAGGTGAAGAGATTTTATTTAATTTTTTTTAGAAGAAGAAGAAAAAATGTGTATTATTTTCGTTTTGTTTTGTTTTATTTTATTTTAAATAATTTAATTAAATTTTTTGTCACTTATGCCCACCAAGGCTGCATTTATTTAATCCCCCCCCCCCCCCCCCCCAAAAAAAAAAAAAAAAACTTTTTTTTTTATGCCTTAAATAAATGCAGAGTGACAGTAAATACATTTGTAATGTTACAAGATATTTTTATTTTAAATAAATGCTGTTCTTTTGAAATTTCTGTTCAGTGAAGGATTTGGAGAAAAAGATGCATCACGGTTTCTACAAAAATATTAAGCAGCACAACTGTTTTCAACATTGAACCCAAAAAAAAAGATAGAATAATATGTTTATTCGGCAAGGATGCAGTTTTTCTGTTCATCAAACAATGTATCTCAGTTTCCACAAAAATATTCAGAAGAAATATATTTGTATTATTATTAATATTTTAGTGCCAATAATAATTCAGCATCAAATCAGCATATTAGAATGATTTCTGAAGGATCATGTGACACTAAAGACTGAAAATTCAGCTTTGCCATCACAGGAATAAATTATATTCTGAAATATATTCAGATAGAAAACAGTTTTTCAAATGGTAATAATATTTCACAATATTACTATTTTAATGTATATTTGATCAAATAAATGCAGCCTTGGTGAGCATAAGACAGTTCTTCCACACAAAAAAAAACATTTAAAAAAATCGTAATTATTCCTAACTTTCACTGTTGACGTATGAATTTATTTTCAACTTGGTTTTTTTTCAGCATAAATTAATTTTAAAGGGTTAGTTCACCCAAAAATGAAAATTCTGTCATTAATTACTCACCCTCGTGTTGTTCAAAACCCGTAAGATTCAGAACACAATTTAAGATATTTTTGATGAAATCTGAGGGCTCTCTGATCCTCCCATAGACAGCAAGGTAACTACCATGTTCAAGGTCCAGAAAAGTACCAAGATGACGTCATTACGCCGGATCTGGGTCAGCGCCGGCGCTGCCACACGCTCGCGTCATGATACTGTTGTGAACGCGCATCCACAAGTGATGCAGTAGAGACGAAAATGTGGAATAAAGTCATTATTTTTGTTTTCTTTGCGCAAAAAAGTATTCTCGTAGCTTCGTAACTTTACAGTTGAACCACTGATGTCACACGGACTACTTTGTCGATCATCTTGGTATTTTTCTAGACCTTGAACGTGGTAGTTACCTTGCTGTCTATGGGAGGGTCAGTGGGCCCTCATATTTCATCAAAAATATCTTAAATTATGTTCCGAAGATGAACGAAGGTCTTACGGGTTTTCGAACAACACGAGGGTGAGTAATTAACGACAGAATATTCATTTTTGGGTGAACTAACCCTTTAAATCATTTAAAACCATTTTTAATGCAATTTGAAACAATCTACATGGGTATCTAATCATCACTAACAACGTGGTGAACTAAAGATATCTGTCTCTTTTTCAGATTACTGTTTATGATCAGGAGCATTTCCAGGGCAGGCGTTGTGAATTCACTGCTTGCTGCCAGAACATCATGGAGTACGGAATGGAGACTGTCCGCTCCCTGAAGGTGGAGTGTGGCGTGTGAGTAAAAGCAAGCATCTTCAGTTAACTAGAGTAAATCTCTTTTCCTCTTTCCAGCCCTGTCTCCTAATCGTTTCTTCTGACTGTAGCTGGGTAGGTTTTGAGCACTCTACCTTCAATGGCCAGCAGTTCATCCTGGAGAAGGGAGATTACCCATGCTGGGAGGCCTGGAGTGGCAACAATGCCTATCGCATTGAGAGGATGATGTCCTTCCGCCCCATCTATTCTGCTGTGAGTGAGATCATCTGCAGCAGGGACACACAATACACCCACCAGCAGACTCTCTGATCATCACTATTTCTCAACACATTTACATTTTTTGACATAGATACATGGCATTAAATTGAATTGAGAATAAAGTGAATTTGAATTGAACTAGCAAAGAAATTGCACAAACCATAACTGAAATAGAATTAATAGAAATATTAGAAATATAAGCCTAAATTGTTAAAAAAAGAGAAGTAAATCATAATAACGTACAAATGTTAATATACTAATAATCAACGTTTGAAAAGCTGTTTATTTATTTACATATTTACTTTTTTTACTTACACACGTTTCATACACCAGGGGCATAATAAGAAATATTAGAATAATAAATAATAAAATATAAATGTAATTTATATAAAATATTAATAATCAATGTCTGAAAAGCTACCTTTATTTATTTACATAATTTATATACGTATGCTATCATACACAAAGGGGCATAATAAGAAATATTAGAAAAATAAGTCTAAAATATTTGTTACAAAGCAATAAATAATCAAATATAAATAATTTATTTATTTGTTAAGTTAATTATGTATATAATTTACATAAGTTATCATACAAAGGGTATAATCAAAACATTAGAAATATTGATCTAAAATATTTATTTAAAATGTAATTTATAATTTTTTTATATGATATATGATTTATATAAGGTATAATTATATAAGATAGATTTAGATTTAATCATTTAAATTATTTAATTATAGATTTATTTATTTTAACTTGGTCATTTTATGGGTCATGGTGGAAGAACATTTCCTAGAATCCAAAATCTTGTCCAGTTTGTTGTGCTAGCCTAATTAAAAAATAAGTTGTGTTACACTGCAGTAAATTCAATTTCCATTTCCATTTTTTCATTTGTTCCAATTCAACATCCTGTGAGATGGGGCCAGTTTAATTTAAATTGCAAGCCATGAACTTAAAGGGAACCAGTTCTTCGAATCAGATTTTCACTCAACAGGGCATTCAACAAGTCTTTATTTCTTCCTTCTGAAACAGATGCACAGTGATTGCCGTATGATGCTTTTCGAGTGTGAGAACATGACTGGAAAGCAGTGGGAGGTGTGCAATGACTACCCCTCCCTGCAGGCTATGGGATGGTGCAACAACGAGATCGGCTCCATCAAAGTCATGAGTGGCGCGTAAGTACGATTGCCCGAATGGATTTTAATCACCTGATCATTACGGAGGCTGGTTTTCTGGTTTCTTCTCTTATGCTGCTTTTGCTCTGTATCTGAAAAAGCCTGGCATCAGGGTATTCATCACTGCATTCGCCAACGTTTGAGAAATCAAACGCTTCACTTGGTCTCCATGGTAACATGCCGCCTCTCTATCCCTGTTTCTCTAGCTGGGTATGCTACCAGTATCCCGGTTACCGTGGTTACCAGTACATTATGGAGTGCGACTGCCACGGAGGCGAGTACAGGCACTACAGGGAGTATGGCTGCCACGCTCAGACCCCTCAGATCCAGTCTATCCGTAGGATCCAGCATTGAGAGGAACCAGCCGTGTCCTTCCCTCCCTTCTTCCTCCTTCTGAGCCCTTCAAACTTCCACTTCCTCCATCCCTCCGTTCCCAGCCTTGCAAGATGGTTTGTTGACCCGGACGGCAGGCTGGTATACTGGTGCTACACTAATGTAACAAGTCCACAGCACGTTTTTTTACCCACAACACGAGGAAAGAAAGACAAACTATTGACGGCAGGAACGACGAGAAGAAAAAGTCCTGTATGATGACAGCAGAACGGACGTGGTGCGTTGCTCTTCTTTCGTCATGACTTGATCATCATGATCATAGCCGTTGCAGTTTCCATGGTCAACTTCTGTATGATATTTGATGAATAAAGAACATGAGCATAACATCTAAAGAAACAGACAAAAAAAACAGAATAACTGATATCAGCTGACTGTGGCGTGTGGATCTTTAAATGAACATTAAAACAAACACTGAACTCTCACATCAGTCATTTTCAGAAAAGGTGTAATGAATTGTCTAACATTAAAATGAACATTGAAATGAAAAGATATGTCTCAGAATTTACATTAAAACATAACAAGGACAGTCTTTTGTACTCACATGGCAACAGATGGGCCTCTAATTTAATTATATGTCAAATGTAAGTCATTTATATAGCACTTTATACAATACAGATTGTGTCAAAGCAGCTTTATAGTATTAATAAACAGGAAAATAGTGTTGATAATGCAAGAGGACAATAGTAAACACTAAATTTTCCAGTTAAAGTCAGTTTATCATTGATTTAGTGACGTCATCCAAATGCAATCCACTAAATCACCTTTAAGATGCTACTTTATCAACATATAAAATGACTGTAAATGAAATGGACAGGTGGTAATGTGAAAACATTCTAAATGTAAATGTGTGTGTGTGCACTGGTTTATATATCCTGGTGGGGACTTAAACCTGACTACACACAGACTCATGGGGACTCGTGTCACGGTGGGGACCTAAATTGTGGTCCCCACGGGTACAAAAGCTTATAAATCATACAGAATGAAGTTTTTTGAAAAACTAAAAATGCAGCAAGTTTCCTGTGAGGGGTAGGTTTAGGGGTAGGGTTGGACCAGACATGGTCCTGGAGGGCCAGTGTCCTGCACAGTTTAGCTCCAACCATAATCAAACACACCTGAACCAGCTAATCAAGGTCTTCCTAGGTATACTTGGAACTTCCAGGCAGGTGAGTTGAGGCAAGCTGGAGCTAAACTCTGCAGGACACCGGCCCTCCAGGATCAAGTTTGGTGACCCCTGGTGTAGGGCAATAGAATATACTGTCTGTACAGTAGAAAAACCATTACGCCTATGGAGAGTCCCCACAAGGACAGCTGACCAGACATGTGTGTGTGTATATATATGTATTTAAAGAAATTGTGACATTAAAACATTTTACATTATACATAAAGTATACACATTTAATTTAATCTTGATGGTCAAAAAAACAAACAAAAAAAACCCCGGAAAATTGACAACCACCCCTTAACAAACGGCAGTGGTTTAATCCAGATTTTAGTTTGACCCTGTGCAAACCAATTTTATACTGATTATGCCAAGTGCAATCTATTAGTGTCCCTAATTTTGATTCAATGCGTTTAACCTGCACATTGACAGGCCAGTGATCAACAATTTGTGATGGCTCAACAAAAAGCCAACTAACGATAAAATAACTAACAAAAGATTAAAAAAAAAAAAATTACTACTAAACTACTACAATCACATAATGCATACTCTGTGGCTCATTTTGCCGCATATTTTAATAGTTCCGCACCAAATACTCGGTTTGAGAAGCACCAACAAAGATCATGAAGAAACATACAAAGGATATTACAACTACGCTGACATGACCGATCGTCTTCAGCGTTTTTCTCAAAAGTACGCACATATTTGCAGCCTCTCGAGCATCGGACAGTCTGTCGAGGGAAGGGAGCTTTGGGTCATGAGAATAACAACGAATCAGACGGCGGATGAACCGGGCAAACCGAGGTTCAAGTATGTGGGCAACATCCACGGAGACGAGGCTTTATCGAGGCAGCTGTCAGTGTATCTGATCGAGTACCTGTTGACTCAGTACGGCCGCGATGTGAGAGTAACAGAGCTGGTGGACCGGACGGACATCTATATAATGGCCAGCATGAATCCTGACGGCTCTGAGCGCGCGGTGGAGGGGGACTGCTCTGGCAGCAGCGAAGGCCGCGAGAATGCCAAACATTATGACCTCGATAAGAGTTTCTCAGACCGGGACGAGTCCTTCAGTAAGACCTCAGAAGACCTACCGGAGGTCACAGCTGTCATGAAATGGATTCTTGAGAAAAAGTATGTTTTGCATTTTTTTTTATTATTTATATAAATTTACAAATGTTTTAATCCAATCATTTGGCACTGACAACCTCAAATAACCTTGCCATTTAAATCCATATCATTAAAATTATTTGATATTTATTATTAGGAGGGTCAGCAGGGGTCTTCCCTTTTGATTGTCTTGTCACAACAAATTGGCTGACTGCAAGTTGGTTATATCACACTGACTTTGAGTTAGGAAACAAAAATAATTAAGCCACACTGACATTTTTACGGTATTCAGTTGGGAGATTAAAACTATTAAAAAATACTTTAAAATTAAATTTTAAAAAAATTAGAGAAAGTTTGCCATGGCAGCTGACTGAAATGATTTTATGTGTAAGTATTAAGGCCTGGTTTCACAGACAGGGTTTAGACTAAGCCAGGATTAGGCCATAGCTCCGATAGGACATTTAAGTAACTTTTATAAACGTGCCTTAGTAAAAAAAAAATATATAAAATAAATAATACTGGTGTGCATCTTGAGACAAGACAAAAAGGCACTGACATGTTTTAAGATCAATCGATGCAAGTTTCTTTCAGATGAAACTGCTCAGACTTTTATTTTAGTCTGGGACTAGGCTTAAGCCTTGTCTATGAAACCGGGGGTTAAATTACTAACTGGAAATTAAAAAAAAAAAATTTTTTTTTTTTTATTTAAAAACTGAACTAAAAAATAATAAAGTAAAACTAAAATGAAAACTAACCGAAAAAATAAATAAAATGAGCCTAACTAGTAATACTTAAAAAAAATAAATAAATGAAAACGACAAAAAAACACACTAAATTACTACAAAATTAAACTAAAAATGAATTTAAAAATAAAAACGAATAAAACTCATTCAAAATGTTAATAAAACATATAATACTAACCAATACCGAATACACTACAAACATTGTATGCACTACAAAATATCAAAATTAATTTGAATAAATGATTTAAAATTTGGTGTCTGAATCAATTCATTTTATTTTTTTTTAATAGAGAAATTGGTGTAAACTTTTATTCTAGCCTGGAAAACATGAATCTCTGATTATTCAGTGGTGTAATGTTCTCTTGCTTCTGATCTGAGATTTTCACAAGTCCGATCTTTTCCCAAGAAGTGTTTTCTACCATGCTTGCTTCCTCTGTGTCGTTTTTTCAAGGTTTGTCTTGTCTGGTAGTCTACATGGGGGCTCAGTGATGGCCACCTACCCCTTTGATGACGGCAGTTCTTATGCAACCGCAGAGCTGACAGCAGATGAGGCTGTGTTTCGCCATTTAGCACAAACCTACACTGAGAACCATCCCATTATGAGGATGGACAATCCTGACTGTCCTGACGTTCCAGACAAAAACTTGGGAGATGGTATCACAGTTTGACATTTAAAATCAGGCCTTGTGCCCAAGTGGAACTCCATTCAACTTATATTTTGTAACATACGTCTCTTTACTGTCCTTTTAATGTGTCTTAGTTGCATAAAATAATTAATTTATTTTAAAAAATCTTACTGGCCCTACATTTTTGAAGGATATTGTACTTGTAACTGTACTGTTTTTTTTTTGTTTGTTTTTTTTGTCTTAATTGTTTATTCATGAGTGCATATTCCTGTTTCACATTGAAATTTGGCTTTTGCATAATGGTAGGAATTGATATGCTGACTTGGGCATATCACAGCACAGACACTTTAGCCGTTAACATTGGTCTGAGCTGTGAACTGCTTCCACCAGAGGAGTTGCTCTCAGAATACTGGGAGAAGAATTACGGAGCGCTCTTGCACTTTATACAACAGGTGATTCGTTCTTGATCATGATCAACACATTAGTCATTTTCTTGGGTGATCTATTCCATTTAAACCTATGCATGGTTTGTGTGATGTCCCATGTGTCAGGTTCATTTGTTTGTGAGGGGTATGGTGACTGATGGTCATTCTGGCAAAGGCATTGCTAATGCCACAGTCGTGGTGGAAGGCTCAAGCCATTATGTGCACACCAGCAGCACGGGCCAATACTGGAGACCTCTGGCTCCTGGTTCTTACCATATCACTGCTTCTGCTCCAGGGTGAGAAATGGGCAAATGAACAGAATTCCAGTTATAAAATTGGTCAGCCATTATGTTTTCTGTGATCTATCCACAGTTATACTCCAATATCAGCATCTGTCCGGGTGTTGGAGACTCGGGTGGAGCAGGTGGACTTCAAGCTGACTAGAGGTACATTGTCTGTTGAGGAAGGAGAACAGAAGGACTTTGAGAAACTGGTGGAGTGGCTTTTAGCCCCTGGTGAGTTGGATCAGTTGGTCCGCAGCCTTCTCCCTGCTCAGACCTTGCGGTACCGAACCTACAGAGAACGCTCTGAGTTCCTGCGTGGATTGACCTTAAACTTTCCTCGCATCACACGGCTGTACAGGTATGTAGTATTGAAGATGTGTCTTTACTTCTTAGCAAACACCGCTAACCATCTGATTAAAGTGCCCCTATTATGCCTTTTCGAATATTACCTTTCATGCAGTGTGTCATGTAGCTGTATGTGAACGTAAACTATCTGCAAAGTTGTGAAGCCGACAGTGCACGATAAATAGTTAGTCTATCAAAAAAAAAAAAAGTCTGCTCTCAATCGCCTAAACGAGTCGTCAGGAATTCGAATCTTATTCGGTTACAGCTCTACGTCACAAAGTAACACATCTGCATAATGTCTGCCCACGTTCTACGTCGCCAACTTGCCCGCCCACAAACACCGTAAAATTTCCGTGTGGTTAACATCATGTCGAGAAGATGCTGTGAGTACATTTGTTTTATCACATCTTATAATTACCACAAACTTGTTAACACTTGACCTTTGTTTCACTTGCGAATCAGTCTCTTGTCGATAAGCCAGTTCAACCGCTTCATCATTAGACTCCGGCTCGAATTGGTAAGGTACAATCGATACCATATTTTCTATGTATTGACAAGTCTCCAGGGCTGTCGTTCCGTCATGGCAATGGGCGTTTCGTTTCCGACACGCACTTTACGCGATAGACCAATCCAGAGCCAATCTCTCTAGGGGTCTGGACCAATCGCAAAGGATTGCGCCATCTGACCAATCACAGCAGTGAGGGCTCACAGAAAGGAGGGGTTTAGAGAGACTGATTCTTTGAACTGCTTCGCACGAGTCGCTTACGAATCATTTAGAAATGAGGTCAAATTAAATCTATTTTTTGAGAAAACTAACGTGTTTTTTGACCTTGCATGCATGTAAACCTGTTTTAGGAGACTCGTAAAACAATATTAGCAACCTTAAAAATGGCATAATGGGGGCAGTTTAAGACTTGAGATGATTGGGCCAGTAATTAACCATCTAAAACAGCATGAAGCAAAACATCTATGCCAAACATCATATAGATCCATGGGTGTTTATTGAATTAAGCTGGAAGGTAAATTATGTTGTAAATCTTCAGTTGGTGTTGTTCTATCTTCCTGGGGTCAGTTTGGGTGAAAGCACTGAGATTAGAACTATCTGGGCTCTTGAGATCGCTGGCAATTTGGAGATCCCTCAAGCTGCTGAACCCAAGATCCGTTTTGTGGCTGGAGTTCATGGTAATGCAGCAGTAGGTCCAGAGTTGCTGCTTGAATTTGCTTCTGTTCTCTGCCTAAACTATGTCAGGAATCCCGCCATCACTAAGGTAAGCTTCACCAAACCTCTCAATAAACCCATAACCCTTCAGTTATTTACTCTGTACCTTTGTTTGCAAGAGAATGGAAAGTTTTTCTATCTTCAAACTTATTAGAATGCAAAGGTGTTGGTCAAATACAGAGCATGTTAGCACGTTGCTAAGCTAATAGAAAATTATATAGGACATCCAACAATTTTTCTTTAATTCGAAACCTTACTGGGTTTAATTAAATGTAGTATATAAACAATCAATTTGTTAATTATTTCTTTTTTTAACTGGGTTGTATTTTACATGAAATGCATTCTGATATTACTTTCACTGTGAAGGATAAATGCTGTGCTGCCTTATAATTAGGCCAAAGGAACCCAGCATAATTATTCTTCCTACCATTTGGAACATCTAGTGGGTCTGGAGTGCGTTTATCATTTAGACAGTGGAGTTTGTGTATCTGTCATTATATATTCTCCTCCAATGAGATTTCATTTTCTGCATGTTCCAAGTTGCATGTCTTTATGAAAATTCAAATCTCGCTCTTTCAGGACTTTAGTTTGGATGTGGGCGTTTGCCCTGAAATCACGGTATACACTGACTGTTGTATGTTCCCATCCGTACGTCAGCTCTTCCCGCTGTGGATTGAGAACAGACTGCCGCTTTTCCGCATGCTGCTGGAGGTGGACAGATTTGAACTACCTTTATCATCGAGTAACCAGAATTTCAGGCAACTTAAACTCGTTTTAATTCATGTTTTCCTCCGGTTTAATCTTTGAAGGTTCACAGAAGGCTTAGTGGTGTCGTGAGGGACAGCAAAGGCCGTCCGGTGTCGGATGCTGTTGTTGTGGTGAACGGCTCTATGAATGTTCATGCAGACAGTCAGGGTCACTTCACCACTCTCGTGGCTCCAGGCACACATCAGCTGCTGGTTCAGGCTCATGGTTATCAGCAAGAACTCCAGCAGGCAGGTTCTAGTTTACTAACAGTTTTAAATGGGTGTTATCACTTTTAAATGTTAAAATAAATGTGTATATATTAACTTTAAAAAAAAAAAATTATTTTTTTTTTTTCACATTTAATATGGATGATTTCGGCATAGTAAAAGCATAAGTTAAATTGATACACTAGCTTTCAGACGTTTGGGGTCAGTAAGGTGTTTGTTTTTTTAAGAAACGAACATGTATTCAGCAAAGATTAAAGGGGTCATATGATGTGATTTCAAGTTTTTCTTTCTCTTTGGAGTGTTACAAGCTCTTGGTGCATAAAGAAGATCTGTAAAGTTGCAAAGACTAAAGTCTCAAATCCAAAGAGATATTCTTTATAAAAGTTAAGACTTGTCCACACCTACCTAAAATGGCTCGTTCTAACACGCCCCCACATGTCTACGTCACGATGTGGGAAGATTTGCATAACGCCGCCCAAATGTTCACGCAAAGAAAGAAGGCGAAACTTTTTTTTTTTTTTTTTTTCTCGCTGTAGTTTTGTTGCCACTGCCATGTTGTGAAGGCGCTGTGTGCTTCGTTGTGAAAGCGAAACTACTTCATTTGGCCTTCCAAAAGAGGACGATATCCGCTTCGTCATGCCTAGAGCTGATCCATGCTGGTTGCTGAGGAAATACATCAACTTCGCGCTGTGGATCGCCGGTTTGGTTTCACCGTGGACTAAGCGGAGTCCAGCTCGGGGTCGCCACATGTGGTTGCCGCAGGCATCACAATATGGTAAGTGACGTAACATTTCTGTCACACGCTTGAGGAATTCGGCCAATCACAACGCAGTGGATAACTGGCCAATCAGAGCACACCTCGCTTTTTCAAACCGATGAGCTTTGTAAAAATCGACGTGTTTCAGGCATAGAAGAGAAACAATGTACAGTATGTGGAAAATTTTTTTTTTTTTTTATCTTAAACTGCATAAACACATTTCATTACACCAAATACACCAAATACTGTTCTTTTTAGCAGCATCATATGACCGCTTTAAATAAATGGATCAAAAGTGGCCATAAAGACATTTATATAGGATAATTAAAGATTTATGTTTTATATAAATGCTCTTTTTCTATTAAAACAAAAATCTATTCTAACCTTCTAAAAAAAATAAGAATCCTGAAAATAGAATAAGGTTTCCACAAAAAAGAGAGAAAATGAGGGGGGAAAATGTAGCAGTTTAAGTGCTGATAAACACAGCAAAAAAGAAAAGAAAAAAAGTCAGTTGATTTCATGATTAGTTTAAAATATATTAAACTTAAAATATTTAAATATAAAATTATTATTAACAATATTACGGTTTATTGTATTTTCAGTATATGCAGCCTGGGTGAGCACTTTAAAACATTAAAAAAATAGTCTTATGGATCCCAAACATTTAAATGGTATTTTAATAATAAAAAAATTATAATTTTATTACATTGTGTATAATATTGGGCTATGAGTTGATAACCCTGCTTCTGTCCAGCAGGTGGTGAAATTACACACACATTACTATTATCTCATTCTCCTTCCTGTGATTTTAGGTGAATATATCCTCAGACAAAGTGACCAGCCCCATTGTGATCGACTTTACAGCGGACAGGGCTTCCCTAAGTCAGGCAGTCTTTGTAATTGCCACAGGTATTTAAAAAAAACACATCCTTTATTCTTTTCTGTTTCCAGTGATCTTATTGGACACACAATCTTATTCTGTTACTATATGCAAAAAAAAAAATTCTTTTTTTTTCCCATTTTAAAATATAAAATAAATTAACTTTTTTTAAAACTAGGCTGTAATGATTGTTTAATGACTGCTGCTTGAAAAATCCTTCATGAGTGAACTGAACTAATAAATCCTGTCCTGAAATTCTTCATCATCCTCTAGCCTCTTTGATGAGCGTCTTTATCTGCACTCTCCTCATCTGGCACCTTCGCTCTGCCAAGTTCAGCCGCATACGAGACGGGGTTCGTTGGTTGCGTCGTAAGCGGGACGTCCTCCAAATGGAAGCAATGGCTTCAGAGAAGTCACCCTTGCGACAGGAGTTCCTGGATGAGAGCGAGAGTGAAGATGACCCTTTCCTTGTGGAGGGTCGCTGAATGTGCTGTCACGGTGTTCAAGAATAAAATGTAATTCTGTCTTTATAGTACGTCAAATGACTTTGTGAACGACAGATGCAGATCTGTCAACGTTTAGTAAATGGTGTATTTTTCAACCTTTGGTCTCCTAAACTTCATCTAATATATGCATTTACCAAGCTTGTTGCTAGTGGTGGATGCACAGCTAGTCAGGTGTTCAAGCGTTCAGGTCATTGGATTAACAGCAGGTGGCAGTAATGCACCTAGACATTTGACAAAAGAAAGAAACAAAGGGGAATGGGGTGAGGACTGATGTTGCATCATATAATGGCTAAGCATCGCTTACCCATAAAGTTACAATCCCTATACGAACATAAGCACAGAACTTATTTTGAACTATTCATGCTACTTAGATAATTGATAAACTGTGCAACCTATTGAGGTGTGCTAACTATAGTACTTTTCTAAGTGATCAGACTTATAGGGATAGTTAACCCGAAAATGAAAATTACCTCATGATTTACTCACCCTCAAACCATCCTATACACTAAAAAATGCTGAGTATTTTTTTTTTAACCCAAATGCTGGGTTCAGGCTGTTGGGTCATTTTATTGGAATGTTTTAAATATTTTATCCAGGTGCTGGGTAGTTTTTCTACCCAACCGCTGGGTTGAGCCTGTTTCCAACGAAACAATCCAGCTGCTGAGGTACAGTCAGTGTGCAGGCTTTTTGTGTCCTTTACAAGCAGAGCCGGATTTAGTGATTTGGGGGCCCCAGGCAAAATATAGGAATGGGGCCCCTATATATTTGCACACATTTACCTAGATCAGCCTTGAGGTTCCTTTTTTGTTGTGATGCTTGCTGCTGCACAATGATGCCCCACAGTTGTGCCCAATGTTTCTACATTTTCATGTATGTGTTATAATGGCTTTCTTTCATGCTGTAGACCACGAAATAGCAATTGATTTACAGTTTTCACAAAAACAATATAAATGATAAACCTCACAACTGAGCCTTTAAACCATTTTTTAAGAAAAGAGATGAGTTGGAAATACAAATTATGATATTAATTTAAAACGGGGTTGTGTGTGTGGATTTTGCATTGGTCTGAACAAAAACTGCAGACGCGATTATTGAAAATGCACATTCATTCTCTGCCAGCAGGAAGCGCTTTTGGAACATCAGAAATACAGCGGTTTCCCCGGTAACGGCTGTAAACAAAGGCTGCTCATAAACGCTACTTTATCAGATCAAATGAAAATGCGAAACTTTTCTGAAGACCGTCAGTTCCCTTCAGAGATTCATTCATATAAAAACTTTTAATTAGTGAGAATGAGAAAATTATAGCCTATATTGAGGAGGAAAGTCCACTGAAGAGTTACCAGCGTAAGCCTGTGTGGCGAAGGCTGTCTAATTCTAAACTTTAAAATACACTTATTTTAGTTATTTTAACTAAAAAGCAAAAAACAAATCCCGCACACTATCTATGTGTCACGGTGTTCAAGAATAAAATGTAATTCTGTCTTTATAGTACGTCAAATGACTTTGTGAACGACAGATGCAGATCTGTCAACGTTTAGTAAATGGTGTATTTTTCAACCTTTGGTCTCCTAAACTTCATCTAATATATGCATTTACCAAGCTTGTTGCTAGTGGTGGATGCACAGCTAGTCAGGTGTTCAAGCGTTCAGGTCATTGGATTAACAGCAGGTGGCAGTAATGCACCTAGACATTTGACAAAAGAAAGAAACAAAGGGGAATGGGGTGAGGACTGATGTTGCATCATATAATGGCTAAGCATCGCTTACCCATAAAGTTACAATCCCTATACGAACATAAGCACAGAACTTATTTTGAACTATTCATGCTACTTAGATAATTGATAAACTGTGCAACCTATTGAGGTGTGCTAACTATAGTACTTTTCTAAGTGATCAGACTTCTAGGGATAGTTAACCCGAAAATGAAAATTACCTCATGATTTACTCACCCTCAAACCATCCTATACACTTAAAAAATATTTTTTTTTTAACCCAAATGCTGGGTTCAGGCTGTTGGGTCATTTTATTGGAATGTTTTAAATATTTTATCCAGGTGCTGGGTAGTTTTTCTACCCAACCGCTGGGTTGAGCCTGTTTCCAACGAAACAACCCATCTGCTGAGGTACAGTCAGTGTTGCAGGCTTTGTGTGTCCTTTACAAGCAGAGCCGGATTTAGTGATTTGGGGGCCCCAGGCAAAATATAGGAATGGGGCCCCTATATATTTGCACACATTTACCTAGATCAGCCTTGAGGTTCCTTTTTTGTTGTGATGCTTGCTGCTGCACAATGATGCCCCACAGTTGTGCCCAATGTTTCTACATTTTCATGTATGTGTTATAATGGCTTTCTTTCATGCTGTAGACCACGAAATAGCAATTGATTTACAGTTTTCACAAAAACAATATAAATGATAAACCTCACAACTGAGCCTTTAAACCATTTTTTAAGAAAAGAGATGAGTTGGAAATACAAATTATGATATTAATTTAAAACGGGGTTGTGTGTGTGGATTTTGCATTGGTCTGAACAAAAACTGCAGACGCGATTATTGAAAATGCACATTCATTCTCTGCCAGCAGGAAGCGCTTTTGGAACATCAGAAATACAGCGGTTTCCCCGGTAACGGCTGTAAACAAAGGCTGCTCATAAACGCTACTTTATCAGATCAAATGAAAATGCGAAACTTTTCTGAAGACCGTCAGTTCCCTTCAGAGATTCATTCATATAAAAACTTTTAATTAGTGAGAATGAGAAAATTATAGCCTATATTGAGGAGGAAAGTCCACTGAAGAGTTACCAGCGTAAGCCTGTGTGGCGAAGGCTGTCTAATTCTAAACTTTAAAATACACTTATTTTAGTTATTTTAACTAAAAAGCAAAAAACAAATCCCGCACACTATCTATGCAAAAAATATAAAAATATTTATTGACTATATTTCGGTCGCATGACCTTCATCAGGAATTTTTTTCGTTCTTTTTTTAGTTATTTTAACTACAAATTTAAATGGCAATGATACATTTACACACCTAAGGATTATATCAACCAAACAAGTAACTGCGTATGCATCCTCTACTTGGGTCCTTCTCATAAATGAGTAAGCGGCATTTAAAACAATAAACATATCATATGCGCTGTTGCTCAATATTTAATTACAGCTTCAGATACATGATATTTTCATTTGCTACAAGCAGGATACATGAGAAGTGTGTTCAACTCGGACACGCAGACAGCTGTCGTGGTGATACACTAAAAAGCAATCATTCTCATGTCAGAGCTTGATGCGCGTCTCGTATATGAAAAGCATTTTAGGGGGCCCTTGGCTTTTGGGGGCCCAAGGTAGTCGCCTACCTTTGCCTATGGGTAAGTCCGCCTCTGTTTACAGGAGAGAGCAGTTCTCAGCGCCGCCGCCGCCGATTTGGTCAAATCGAATTTTGATAAAGGTTTGTATACATTTTATTTTATTTATAAAGTCTTTATTGTGCTGTAAATTATATTATGTTACGCAACCCAACATAAGGACAAGGTGTTGGTCAGCTGCGCCTTTTGCCTTGCATAACATAAATGGATTTTATTCATTATAATACTGAGTTTAATTTAATTTGATGTGAAAATATGTTCTTTAATCTCAGTACTGTTTGTTTATGGGCAGGTTATGGAGTCAGTCAAGGCATCGTTCAGCTATGAGTGAAACGCGAGGCGGCGGTCTGAAGTTTGCAGTTCACCTGCGAACAGCAGCCCTTCACCGGCTCAGATTTCGGCGACACACCGGCACACACTAGCACTATTTCTGTAAAAAGTGATTACAGAGAACAGTTGAATACACTTAAATTAAAATGCTACTTTTAAATGTTACTTTTTTTATTTCTAAAATGCTCATTGAACGAGTTTAAATGTATGCAATATTGTAAACTATGCTGGATTCCAAATTTAACTTGTATTTAAAAAAACAAATAAACCTTGCTACATGTACTGCATTGGGCTAACAAGACTGTGTTATAGCACTTGCATTTTATTGCTCTTTTGTTGGTTTTGATTGCTTCTATTGTCCACTTTTGTAAGTCGCTTTGGATAAAATCGTCTGCTTAATGACTACATGTATTTTGTCCATGTGTTCTTGCTTAATAATAAATGGCCGTCTTTTGATTATTGCTGTTGCCTCTAGTAATTCTGTGTGTGATTTTTAAGCAATATATATAATAATTTTTAAACAATTCAGCAATTTAATATAATTTTTAAACAATAGTTGACTTAAATAAAACAACCCAGCATGTTGGGTAAAAACATTAACCCAACCAGCTTGGTCAAAATAACCCAGCATGTCTTCTGTCCAATATTTACCCAGCTTTAGATTGCCAAATAACCCAAGTTGGGTTGTTTTTAACCCAGCATTTTTTTAGAGTGTAGGTGTATCTGATTTTCTTCTTTCAGATGAATACAATAAGAGTTATATAAAAAAATGTCTTGGCTTTTCCATGCTTTATAATGGCTGGGAATGAGTGCTGAGATTTTGAAGCCCAACAAAAGTGTGTCCATCCAGCATAAAAAGTACTCCACACGGCTCTGGGGGGTTAATAAAGGCCTTCTAAAAACTAATTGATGCATTTGTGTGATAAAAATATCCATGTTTAAAACGTTATAATCCGTAATTTCTAGCTTCCACTAACTGCCGTATGCGTGTAAACGAGAGTAGCGTTCCAGCAGATGACGCCCCTGTTGAAAAAACCAGCATATGCTGGTTAGGTATGTTTTGAGTCCTTTGCTGGTTTATGCTGGTCCTTTGCTGGTTTATGCTGGTCGGACCAGTTTATGACCAGCACATGACCAGCTAAGGACCAGCATAAACCAGCAAAGGACCAGCTCAAACCAGCATCCCAGCTTCAAAACATACTTAACCAGCATATGCTGGTTTTTTCAACAGGAGCAGGCTTGGCCTAAGCTCCAGTGAGAATATGGTAATTTAAAAACTTAACATCTAATGTTAAAATGTATGTTTTTTTTATGTATCGTTCTCCCTTTAAACACTCTGGTCAGTTCAAGAATAATTTTTGCAATTTTATATTATTTATTTGAAAGAGTGAGAGTAGTTACATGTCTGTCCTTGCATTGTTTAACTGGTCGAGGTTGATATGGGATTTAAAATTAGAGAGAATAATTCGTAATCTAATTCCATTGTTGATTACTTTTTTAGAGACACTGCTAACAACCACTTACAGATGTGAGTCTAC